TCCCAGCTTGATGTAAACATTTTTATACAGAATTTAATTTGAAGATCATCTTTTGTGCATGTCTGGTATGTGTGGTGCTGGGGATTGAACCTAGGACCTCATGCATGCTAAGCCAGCCATCTACCATTGAGCTATACCCCTAGCCTCAAGTTTATGTTTATCTTCCCTTTGTATATCTTTCTAGGAGTAGAATTGGTGAGTTATATAGTAATTGTACTTTCTTTTGTTGTGTGGTACTAGAGCTTGAACCTAGGGGCACTTTACCACTAAGCTACATCCCCAGCCCTTTTAATTTCTTATTTTGAGACAAGGACTTGCCAAATTGCTGAGGCTGGCCTCAAACTTGCTATCCTCCTGCCTCAGTGTCTCAAGTCACTGGGATTACAGGCATGTGCCACCACACTCATCTAAGTCTACCTTTAACTTATTTGAGGAGCCTCTAAAGTGTTTCACACAGTACCTGAACTACTGAGCAGTGCATGAGGGTTCCACTTTCTTCATGTTCTCACCAATACTTGTTATTTTCTTTTTAATTTAAATTATTATACCACCCTAAAGATATATTTCACAGTTGTTTTGATTTGTGTTTTCTGAATGCCTAATGATATTGAGTACACTTTATGCTTCTTGGCCATTTGTGTATCTTCTTTGGAGAAATATCTGTTCTATTCTTTTGCTAACTGGGCTTTTTGTTATTGAGTTGTAAGGGTTCTTTACATATTCTGAATACTAGACTTTTACTAGATAATGTTTTCATAAGTTTTATTTTCTGTTCTCTACATTAATTTCTCAATGTCCTTTTTGCTGGGTATGTTGGCACATTCTTGTAGTCCCAACTTGGGAGGCTGAAACAGAAAGATCACAAGTTTGAAGCCAGCCTCAGCAGTTTAGTGAGACCTTATCTCAAAAAATAAAAAGGGCTGGGGGTGTGGCTCAGTGGTAAAATGCCCCTGGGTTCAATCCCTGGTACTGGAAAAAAAAAAAAATCCTTTCATGCACAAAAGTTATTTGTTTATTACTGGGAACTGAACCCAGAGCCGCATACAAGCTAATAAGCATGTATTCAACCATTGAGCTATAGCTCTACTCTAAAATTTTTGAATTTTGATCAGGTCCAACTTATCTTTTTCTTTTGGTGTCATATCTAAGAAACTATTGCCAAACTTATAATCATGAAGAGTTGTAGTAAGTTTTTAAATCAGGGATTATGAAGATAATCCCTTTTAAAGACGACGATACTGGAACTCAGGGATGTGACAAGGCTGACTAAAGACAGAAGGGGCTATTCCTGAGCTAGTATGAGAAACTTGGTGCCAGGATAAATGCAGCAGGCATTCCATGCACCCTACCCCCAAGGAAAAGGGGGCAGCTGCTACATAATCTTTCTGGACCTCACATGGCTAGAAGATTCCCCATGTGAATCCATTTCTGAGGCCCCAGAGGAGGCCAACCTGGAGTGGCATGAGCTGGTCAGCCCTCAAAGAGGCCTGGCCTCTCTCAGACTAAGGGCTCTGGCCCATAGCGTTCACTGTATTGCATAGAGATGTCCAGGTGGTAGTTGGGACACAGTAGCCAATTGGAAAAAAAACCCTTATGGAACTTCTGGGACCCACTCCCACTTTGCCCCCTCTGGCCCCCCTCTTCCTTTTGTAGTGGTTGGATTGCAGCCCTGTCTACACTGCAGCAAGAGTCCTTGGCCGTGTCCATCATCATGATGGTGGTGGCTGGCTTCTTTACACTATGTGCTGGGCTCTCGCTCTTCCTCCTACAGCGGGTAAGTGAGGGCCAGGCCTCAACAAGCTCAAAGAAGTAAGTGCTCTCTCTGGTCTTTGCCATAAGGGGTGTTCCTCACCTCTGTAGTTGGGCCTTCTAGGACATGGATGTGTACAGCACATGCCTCCAAGACTCTTGAGTGGGCAGTTAGGCAGAGTTGGGTGCCTGGGGGTAAGTCCCTGTGGGAGTATAGCTAGAATTCTGGTTGGCCTATCACTCCACCCTCTTTCCCCAGGTGCACTCCTTCTACCGCCGGACAGGAGCTAGCTTCCAGCAGGCCCAGGAGGAGTTTTCCCAGGGCATCTTCAGCAACAGAACCTTCCGCAATGCGGCCTCATCTGCTGCCCGAGGAACCTTCCAGGGGAATTAGTCCTCCTGATTCTCCTCCCTCTGCCTCAGCCTCTTCTCTCTCCTGCCTTCTAAGCTGCACTTTCCGTGGGTGCCTTATGCAGTGGTTGTGCCCAGCACTGACCCGGGGCGGGGGCCTTGTCGTGACTCTTCCTCCTTCCTCAGCAACTAGCTCTCCCTTCCCCCTGAGGGATGGGGAGGGAGGGACAGGAAGTTTTTTTTACACAAGGGAAAAAAAATAACAAAGATCTTTCCTTCTCTGGTGGTGGTTTGGTAGGATTCTTTTGTCTCACTGGAAGCAGTGGGACTGAAGCTGTCTTCCTCCTGTATGCACGCACACACGCGTGCGCGCGCGCTTGCACACACACACACACACACACACACACACACACACACACAGAGGATCATTAGCTGGCCTGGGCCTACCCTAGCTGGAATTTTCTGTTGGCATCCTGGAACTCATGTCCTGGGACCACAGTCCTTCCCCAGAAGGCCTGGCCCAAATTGGGCTCTACATAGCGAGCATGGGACCCCCACGGTCCTGCCCTGCCTGACCTGGTTGGGATAAACCTCCCAAGGGTTCCACTTTAGGTGAGCTGCCGTCTAGGTATATGGACAGGTCTGTTTCCCAGATCATTCTGGCATGGTCTCTGGGTTTCCAGAGCCTCTGGCTGGTTGCCCCAGGCTCTTCCCTGCCTCATGTTATTCACAAATATATTCATAACCTTCCTGGTGTGTGTAGCACCTTGTCCCCTCTGGCTCTGAGTCCTTTTCAGACTATGAATGTGCAATGGAGTTGGTTGGGATTGAGATAAGGAGGGATAGGACATTGGTCCCAAGTTGTCCCACCCAGCCTTTGGCAGTCTGCTAGGAGAGTGGGTCTTGAATGTTCTGGTGGTTTGTATGGCCCTGTTTGTTCTGACTTCTCTCCTAAAAGACAGGTATTTGCCTTAGCCTTAATCTTGTCCCCACCAATAACCATTTCCATCTTGTGAAACTCTTGAGGGAGGGGGAATCGTTCTAGAACTGTGTCCTTCAGGCAGGACAGATGAGCCATTTTTCTGAGGGTTCCAAACTAATCCTTCAGGGTTCCTTCCACACCCAGAGTAGAATCTAGGTCATCTTCCATCACTCTAGGAGGTGTATTACTGTGATGCATCTCTGGGAGTTCACTGCCTGCACCTTGTCCTGCAGAGGTTGCAGGATCTGGTGTGTGGGCTGTGGAAACTTAGCAAGCTGGCCAGTCTGCAGACTTTGGGTCCTGGAGCCCGCCTGAGGCAGCCCCCCAGACTGTCAGCCCACTTAGGCCTAGAGCCACTCAGTGATAATGACAGCGACCAGGGTTTTGTAAACTCCTTTCTGGTGTTTTTCTCCTCCGTGTACAAATGTAAATGTTTTGTCTAAATTTTTGTGCTTAAATAAAAAGACATTTTCAGACAGCACTGGTCCTGATGTCTGGGGAATGTGGGAGTATGGTGTGGTCCATCACATAGAGGCTGAAGGCTTTGGCTGATCTTTGACAGGTGGATGAGCCCCTTCCTCCAAAGACAAAGGGGAAAGGAAACTTGGCCTTTTCCAAAGGCACTGGCTGGTCCCAAGTACTTCTACTTTCAGAACTACCATTCGTTTTTGTACTGGGGATTGAACCCAGGGGTTTACCACTGAGCGACATTCCTATCCCCACCCCCACACCCCCTTTTGTTTTTGAGACAGTCTTGCTAAATTGCAGAGGCTGACCCCGAACTTGAAATCCGTCTGCCTCGACCTCCGGAGTGGCTGGGATTACAGTTACCACCCCCAGGGAAGGCTGCTAGTCTTGTCTTCCAAGGAGCCATTCTGGGTCCCTCTTGGAATCTCCCCTCCCCCTCACGGTCCTGTTCACCGGGCTCCTCCTCTCACACCCCCTCACGTGGATTATCTCTGGACGCTGTCTCTGGGTGGGATTCCCTGGGTGACTGTATCCGCGGTACTCGGCTCGCTTTCGTGCCCCTCGCGGAAACTTCATTGATCCCAAAAAGGCCTTGAGGGTCCTGGCGGAGGACGCCCAGGGGCCGCTGCGAGAGCAGGAGGAGGACGAGCCTCGGAGCGGGGCGGGGTCGAGGTGCACTTCCGGAGGGCGGCGCTAGGGCCGCGTGGACCCCAGCTGAGCCGCCGTGAGCTACGTGGGCTCGGCTGCCGGCCCGAACCGGCGGACGGCTTCATCCTCACCGAGCGCCTGGGCAGTGGCACCTACGCCACCGTGTACAAGGCCTACGCCAAGGTGGGTGTGGGAGGGGCTACAGCGCCGGGCGCTCGGCTCCTGTGCCGCCGACGCAGGAGACGTGGGGGGTCAGAGACCTTGTAAGATCAGTGGGGCCCGCGGTCTGCCCAGCCCCAGGCTGATCCTGGTGCAGGAGGGTGGAGCTCACTGCCACTCCTGGGTCTTAAAAACAAACACAAGTATACGCCCACTGTTTGCTCTGGAGGGGCGGGTGGGACCTTGGTGGGACCCCAGTGTCAGAGGCTGAAGAACTGGCTCAAAACGGAAGTTGCCCGTGGCCTGGGAGGAGTCTGGACAGGACTCTAGAAGGCAAGACCAGTAAGGGGCGGAGTGGCAGTTCTAGAATACTGAGTGACGTACCTTTGCGTGGGCACCTAGAATGCGGTGCAGTGAGGGTTGGGTTGCAGAAGGTTGGAGAACAACCAAGCTGGATTGGGAAGCCAGGATTCCAGAATCCAGCTGCCTCATGAACCTGAGAAGGGGAAGCAGGGATTTCCGCCCGGGGGCTTGTGTGGGTGGGCACGTCCAGGGATTGGAAAGGAGCAAAGGTGCCTCTTCCAGCGAGGCATGACCTTGGCCCTCTCAAGGGAGAGCCCCCAATCTCCTTTCCAACAGAAGGACACTCGAGAGGTGGTAGCTATAAAGTGTGTGGCAAAAAAAAGTCTGAACAAGGCGTCGGTGGAAAACCTCCTGACTGAGATTGAGATCCTCAAGGGCATTCGGCACCCCCATATCGTGCAGCTGAAAGACTTCCAGGTGTGAACCTGGGATGGGGCTCCCCCAAGGGGACTGGAGAAGGGACACACTCTAGGCTGCTTCTCTACTTCTAATCACAGTGGGACAGTGACAATATCTACCTCATCATGGAGTTCTGTGCGGGAGGTGACTTGTCTCGATTCATTCATACTCGAAGGATTCTTCCTGAGAAGGTGGCTCGAGTCTTCATGCAGCAATTGGGTAAAAGCCTCAGATCCCAGCCTCACAGCCCTTCCCATGTTTTCTGTACCTCCTGCATACTACCCCTATCCCCAGGCTTAGAGACCTGGCATTGCTTTGCAGCTGCTGCTGCTTAAGAATTTTTAGGGCCCTGTCTTTCCCATGTTCCAACCGTAGCTTTAGGGTGCTGTGAGAGAGAGGAGCCTCCATTTGCCGGGAGTTCAGGCTTCCACATGTGGAACATAATATGAGAATTTTATTCAACATTCCAAGGCTCAGTAGGTGGAACCCAAGTACATTAACAAGGAAAAGGAAAAGATCCTAAAGGGCCAGGGCATCTCAGGAGACTTGTGAGAAGTCTAGAGGGGAGAAAGGTGGGCACTGGAGGAAAATGAACTTTTGCAAGTGGCAGGAGCCTGGTGCTTATCTTTGAAGCATTTGTGAGACTAGTAAGGCTAGAACTGGGGCTGTGTAAGCTTGAAAAGGCAGATGAAATCCTGGGGAGGGGAGACATAAGCAGGAGAGGGGCTATTCTGACCTGTCTCTCTGCGCGTGTCCTGCTCCCCAGCTAGTGCCCTGCAGTTTCTGCATGAACGAAACATCTCTCACCTGGATCTGAAGCCACAGAACATTCTGCTGAGTTCTTTGGAGAAGCCCCACCTTAAACTGGCAGGTCTGAATCTGGAACAGCAGGGGTGATGTTTTTGGGTGGGTGAGCAGAGGCTCCCTCTGCCTGGCAGGCCCCTGTTGAGACATCAAACAGGGACAGACTGGTAGATCCAGGGCTGAGTCACATCATTGACAGATAGGAGCTTTCTTAGACTGCCTACACTTAACTCCAGCAGTGTAATGGGCATAGTTAGGGTAAGTTTGTGGTCAGAGTTGGGGCTTACTGTATGTCAGGTTTGGGTTTCAGTCTGGAAACAGTCTCATTGTGTGACCAGCATCAGGGATCAGTCTGTGATCAGGGAACAGACTGGATTGGTTCTCAAACTGTGACTCAATCTGGGGCGGTCTTGAAGGGGGTGTTGTGGGAGAAGAATGGTTGTGGCCCTTGATACAATTTGGACAAGAATGGACTTTAGGCTAGAGGTCAAAGAATATGGTGTAGCCTAAGATGGTGAACAGTGAGGGTGAGGCCCTTATCCATGTAGCTAGTATGATCAGGTAGCTTCCTAGGAAGCAGATGCCTAGAGAGAGTGTGCAGGGTGGTTGGGATTTGCACACCCAGAGGAAGAAATAGGAGGATGTTGCAGAGGCTGGGAAGTGGGATTGATCCTGGTGGTGAGTCTGGAAGGTGGGGAAGAGCCCTGCCATGAGCTGGGGGTGAGGCTTTACAGGCTACAAGTAGAAGCAGCTGGAATTTGAGCCCTGCTGCCTTGCCTTTTGCCTATAGACTTTGGCTTCGCACAGCACATGTCCCCATGGGATGAGAAGCATGTACTCCGCGGTTCTCCCCTCTATATGGCCCCTGAGATGGTGTGTCAGCGACAGTACGACGCCCGTGTGGACCTTTGGTCCGTAGGGGTCATCCTGTATGGTGAGACCTCTGTCCCCCTCTCCCACCCTAACCCAAGGGCTGTACTGTGTGTCCTCTGATAAGACTTCTCTGGACCTCTGGGGTGTAAATGAGAACTACAGTTCTATTGATCTGTGGCCCTGTTTTAAGGAGCATCAGATCCCTCTCCCCAGGAGTGTGCCAGGCCGTGCTTGGCCTCCTCCCTTCCCAACCTCTCCTCTGCCTCCATTCCACAGAAGCCCTCTTTGGGCAGCCCCCTTTTGCCTCCAGGTCATTCTTGGAACTGGAAGAGAAGATCCGAAGCAATCGGGTTATTGAGGTGGGTCTGCCAGGGTCTTAGCAACCATGTCGGGGTGGAAGGAATCAGGGCCTTACACAAATTGCAACGTGGGCCCCAGGCTGTCTCCATGGCCATGGGGCAGGCTCTAGCAGGGAAGGTGGGGCTTGGATGCATTGCAGGGATCCGGGACAGTCCACAGCAAACGGGCAGGCCACAACAGAACCAGACCCAAACTTCCCAGGAACATAGTGCAGGGATGGAGGGAGGGATCCACAGACAGGGCTCTACTCCCCTGTGGGCAAGAGCCTGGGAAATGAGGCCTGGCTCTCCACAGGCTCTGTCACCTTGACCCATCTTGTTCCTTTTGGGTCTCAGATTCTCCACATGTCAAACATGTGTCTCTGAGGTTCCTAATAGGGCCCTGGGCTCGGGGCTGAGGTGCTGGAGCCCAGGGCCATTTGTCCCTGCCCTCCTCTTCCCATAGCTCCCCTTGAGGCCCCCGCTCTCCCGAGACTGCCGTGACCTACTACAGCGGCTCCTGGAGCGGGACCCAAGCCGTCGGATCTCCTTCCAGGACTTCTTTGCCCACCCCTGGGTAGACCTGGAGCACATGCCTAGTGGGGAGAGCTTGGCACGAGCAGTAAGCAGACCAACAGGGATGTGGCGGGATAAGGGCATGTGTGGGGGGGGTCCCATCTGCCCCCCCTTGGTGGTGAAAAGGTGGCTCACCCACAGAGGCAAGAGGATGGGCTCGGGGTTTTATCTCAGCCCTGTGCCTGACTCCTGATCTGCCCATCCCCAGAGTGCCCTGGTGGTAGAGGCTGTAAAGAAGGACCAGGAAGGGGACGCTGCGACTGCCTTATCTCTCTACTGCAAGGCTCTGGACTTCTTTGTGCCTGCCCTGCATTGTGAGTGTCAAACTAAGCTCTGTAGTCCCCGAGTACAACAGGAGTGGGGGTCAGCTATATCTGCAGTGATCGATTCCAGAGGAAGTTTCCCATCCAGGATCTTACAGGAGATAAGGCAGAGGATAAACCTGGAACGTGGTGTTTTAGGGATTCTTGGGCTTGGTGTGGCATAGACATCCCTCCCCCCCAAGACTCCTCATGTGAATCTCTACCTTCTGCAGATGAAGTGGATGCCCAGCGGAAGGAAGCAATTAAGGCAAAGGTGGGTGAGATCTTAGGAGGAAAAGGGTGGTGTGAGTGGAGAGGCCCCAAAGATCCCAGGGCCTCTGGGGAATAGCTGTCTTAGAATTGGGCTGGGGAGGGGTCAGGCCAGCTTCATTTGACACCTGATGTAGTTACAGCTTCAGAGAGTTATTGAGGACCCACAGGGAGAGCAGGAGGTGGGTGCTACAGGTAGGCAGGTGTGGGACAACTCTCCTCAGCCCTTGACCCTCCTACAGGTAGGGCAGTACGTGTCCCGGGCTGAGGAGCTCAAGGCCATCGTCTCCTCCTCCAACAAGGCCCTGCTGAGACAGGGAACATCAGCCAGAGACCTGCTGAGAGGTAGGCTTAAGTTCCTGGCTTATCTACCAGGCCCCTTGCAGGCCTCCCTCCAGCCTGAGGGGTGGCAGGTTGAGGTAGGCCCCTTGTGTTGAAAAAACCCATCTCCTCACTCTGAGCCTCTGTCTCCTCATCCCAGAGATGGCCCGGGACAAGCCACGCCTCCTAGCTGCCCTGGAAGTGGCTTCGGCTGCCATGGCCAAGGTTTGTATCTGGTGGAGAGTTCTCTATAGGGTAGGGAGGAATTCGAAGCATGATCCTAAATGATCTAGTGTCCTCATGGCTGCAGGAAGAAGAAGCCAATGGAGAGCAGGATGCCTTGGACCTGTACCAACACAGCCTGGGGGAGCTGCTGCTGCTGCTGGCAGGTGAGGTGCCAGCACCACCCACACCAGACCCCTGGCAGCTTTGCCCTCACCACCTGCCCTCTCTTTACAGCGGAGCCCCCAGGCCGAAGGCGAGAATTGCTTCACACTGAGGTGCCTACTAGGGTTGGGAGGCTGGTCGGGGCTTTCTCTTCCCCTTTTATTCTGCTCTTGTCTGTGGAAACTCCTTGGATTCCCTGTGGAGTTCCCTTCCCTTGGGGTTTTCCAAGTTTCCTTCCCTTGGCACGTTCCAAGTCTGAGAGTCAAACATCATGGACTTGTAGTCAGTGGGTCAGGGATGGGATGCTCAGATTAGCAGGAAGTGCTAGGCTCTTGTAGCCAGGAAGCCTTCCTGGAGGAGGCAGCAAATAAGGGGTTAGCGAGGAGACTGTTTTAATGGGGCAGAGGGTTCTGGAAAGCATTAGGAGTGAGGAAGAGCTCAAATTTAGGCCCTGCTCCCATCTATGGGCATGTCTTCCCTCTGCAGGTTCAGAACCTCATGGCTCGGGCTGAATACCTGAAGGAGCAGGTCAAGGTGGGCCATCTTGGGGTGAGGGTTTGTGGGTTCTCTATGCTTGTGGCTGCCTGTCCCCTGCCCCCTTTGCATATTTTGTGGCCCTCTTCTCTGTTTCTGGTTACCTCATCCTTTGTGCTGCCTTTATGTCTCGCAGATGAGGGAATCTCGCTGGGAAGGAGAGACCCTGGACAAGGAGGGGCTGTCGGAGTCAGTTCGTAGCTGTGAGTCCTGCCTCGGAGGACAGTCCACAAAAGGAGGGATGAGGGTGGCCCAGATTTCTGCTCTCTTTCCAAAGACCTCAGCCTGACCCTTTCCCCTCCCTCCTCCTTAGCTTGCACCTTACAGTGACCTCAGAAGGATGACTGGACAGCACAAGACTCCTGGAGTAAAAGGGCATGCGAATTCAGGCTGACGCCCAAAATTAAATGGCCCTTTGCAGGTCTGGGGAGCTTCCTGGATGGACACTTCTGAGACCTCCATATTCCAGACAATTCCTGGCAGTACTGCCCAGCCTGCAGAGGGCCTGGTGGCCCATGTCATGTGCTGGGAGCACTGGAAGCAGGATTCTGAGACGAGAGTTTCTCTCACGAGACCTTTGTTATTTGGGCACTGCTGGGTCCTGAGCCTGTCAATTTGGGAGCACCAAGCCATTTATGGGTTTTGCTCTGAGAAGAGGGCAGGGGGCCCTCTGCAGGGTACTTTTGCTCTTGCACTGTCCCTGCCAGCAGACAGCTGGACCCACCCTTCTGGGGAGCAGGTATTCCAGCTCATCTTCCTCCTCCACTGGAATAGGCACTCCAGGACCCTCAGGGACCACCCACCCGACAGTGCACTCAGTCCCATGGAACTCCACAGTGTTATTCCGAGCTCATTCCTGCCCACCATCTCTGTACTTTAAGATAATCCTTCAAGCATGAGAGTAATGTTCTTGGTAGGGGTGGTACAAATTTGAGAATCCCATGTCTTATTGTTTCTGCCTTGGCACAGCGGGGAGGGGTCCTCAATCCTCATGCCTCTCAGTTCAGTCCTATTTGGAAAACACATATTAGCTGCAGAGTAGGCCCTGTACTGGAATTTGAGCCAAGGATTGGGGGAGTGATTGGGGACTGCTGACCCTAAGAGGCTGCAGGCACACCCAGCACTGTCCAGGATATGTAGTCCTAGGCCTGACACTGCCACTACCCCAGTGTGTGACCCTGGTCAAGCCCCTTTCCTTTTCTGAGCCTCTCATCTCTTCAGGGGTGTAACTGATACCTCCACAGCCCACAGCATGGGCTCTCATGAGGGCAGAGTGAATGTAACGTGGAGAAGAATGTACACACCAGAGAAGATTTCTAACACTTCTGCCCTTAAATGCCTAGAAGTCTAAATTCCTAAAACTAAACACACACAAAAAAGCCTTCTGAAGTGTTGGCTGACTTCTCTGCAGGAGACTGGGTGTAAAGACTGCAATTGTTTCTCTATTAAATTATTTTGGGTACTTGTGCATCTCTTCTTGCCCTAGGGAAAATAGGGAGAGGTAGCCCTGCTCACAGCCGAGGTTAGAGGAGGCCAGGAAATTTGGGGAGCCTTGAGAGTAGGGCTAGGGGGATCACTGCAGGGAGTGGTAAGCACATCTGCTTCCTGCCCGCAGCCCCCTGGGAATCCAGAAGAGCTAGCTGACTGCTGCCATTCCTGCCAGTGGGAAGCACGGGCCTGGGAGCCTGGCAAGGCCCTTTTCCCCTTTGCTCAGAGCTCTGTTTTGGGGCTGGTGGCAGTCCTCAGATGCTCTCTCCTTTATACCACACACTTTCCCCCTCAAGCAGGAGTTGTTTCCAGCAGATTCTGTACTCTTGATCTGACCAGCCGTTGTTAGGAGCGTCCTTGAAGTTTAATAAGAGTGTGGTAGAGCGCTTCAGAGCAGCCACCCAGAAGCTGTTCCTCAGGCTTCCTGATACCAAGCTGCTGTCTTCAACAGTTCAATGGCTTCTGATACAGGGAATGGAGCAGGGAACTAATTCCCCTGAAGCCTTTGACCTGGCCATTGGAGGGCACTGTAGAGCAGTACCACAAGGCAGAAGGAGCAGGCTAAAATCTTGGCTCTGCCACTTGGCTGGGAAGCTTGGGACCCATCAATTAGCCTGTTTATTCTCCATAAAATGAGGATGAAGAAATGTGCCCCATGGGAGTACGTAATGAGGTGTAGTGTACATCAGCCTGGCATACGGTAAATTCAATAAAATGTTATTTTCAGATCTAGGGAGAGAAACATTTCAGATTATCTCTGAAAATGGACCAGACAAAAAGATTGCAGTAGGTGGGAGGAGGGGAATGAATGGACATTTTAGGTGGATAAATGGGGAAGGTGGGCTGGGAGGGAGAGGTTTGGTTCACTGATCCCACCCAACTTGTTATTTCTGATATAGATCTATATCAAGTGATGGAGAACAGGAACCTTAAATTCTTAGACAATGTGGGTATGGAGAGGAGTGGGCCTATATGAAGAATTAGGTACAGGAAATGCCTGGAAGTTTCAGACCCTGAGAAGGTGCTCTCCCTGGGCAAACCATTAGGTGGATGGGTCCAGGCTGGTCCTGTGTGCCAGCCACCTATAATGGAGGCAGTCCTGTTGGAAGGCTAGAGGCAAGGGAGGAGGTAGGCTCTCTGTAGGGCCTTTCTTCTAATGGAAGACACGTGAGAAACCTACAAATTGGCTTTTCGAATACTTTTGCTCTTTGGAGCAGGTTGTTTCCACCTCTCATTTTCAACACAGTGCAAATGCCCCTCAGCAGTGTCCAGGTCTCACCGTGCCTTATCCTCCCACTTTCACAGTCACCCATGGTCAAAACCAGCACCAGGCCAATTTGGAACCTTTCTGCTCCCAAAGGCCACTTCTAGAGCAGATTGAGGGTGCCAGGTGTCCTTGTACCCAGTTTGCCTATTATTTGGCTTCCAGGGATACAAAAGGATATAGAATCTTGGTCCCTACAGGAAGTTATCTAGAAAAACTCTTGTCCACAGAGGCCAGGATGCTGTTCCAGCATCCAAGCCCTTCCTGAGAGAGATGGCCTCATGAGGCTGAGGCATGAGGGATGGAGAGCATCAAGGAATACTCCCCCAGAGTAACTCACACTCACACCTACACACTTGAAATCCCATGGACACAAAACCAGAAAGCCATGTCCAAGCTCACAGATTACTGAAGATCCCCACACAGACTTCCACTCATGGTCACACACGGGAATGGCTCTTGCTGGATGAGACTGAGGCAGCCTTAACATTGCTGCTCCTCTGGACGCAGGCCACCCAGACTCCTCACGCCTCATACAGACTCAGGATGGTGATGCCTGATGGGTACTGGGTTTGAGGCAGAGCAGTGAGTTTTGTGGCTCCCCACCCCCACTGCAGCCTCAGGTCTGTGGGATGGGGGACAAAAGCTCCCACCTCCCAGGCCTGAGCATCAGCTGGGTCAATAGGCATTGTCAGCAGCTTGGCTTAGCAAGTGAGCATGCCCCAGATGTCCCCAGTGCCTGCCTATGGCCTCCAGTGTCTGAGGAGGACCATCTGGATGTTGGGGAAAGGGAGATCCTACGCGCTCCAAACGCCAGCCACCCTCCCCAACTCCTCTCTGGGGACCATCTGGCCTCGGAAAGTCACTTGTTTTTCTGCACCCCTCCTCCCACTGGGTCTGGGCTGACTGGTTGAATGGTCAAGGCAGAAGGGGACTGGAGTTTCCTGAGGTAGGGTCCAGGGGCGCCATCAATCTTCCCAAAATCCTTTGGAAGGTGGAGTCAGAGCCCTTGAATGGTGGGAGGGGAGGCCATCCATCTTGACCTCCCCTCTCTCCTTGAAAAAGCATGTGGAGGACAGAAGGGCTTTCTTACCACCTGTCTGCAAGAGGAAGAAGGAAAAAGGGGGAAAGAATAGGAGGGTAGGTGGAAAGGAGAAGGCACAGAGCATCAGGCTCCAAACTATGATGCTATAGTAGTAGGGTTTGGGGCACTGTGGAAGGGAAGTTTTGGTGGCAGGTAGCTTTCTTTGTGGCCTTTACATCACACCAGGTGGGAGCATGTGATTGTCCACAGTAAGAAAGTATAGAAATGGGATAGGAAGAGAATGAAGTGGATGCATTGAGGGCCTGGAAGGAGAGGCCCCAGCTTGACCCGTAAGCCCTGTGGAAGGCAGGGGTACAGGACAGGCACTGAGCCGGGAATGAGACAGAGGGTAGGAGGACACAGGGGAGAGCAACACAGACTGAGAGAGAAACCCAGAGCACGGAGCTGACAGGCAAACAGGGCAAGACCAGCAGAAGCAGAGAGCCCTCAGCCTGCGCTTTCACAGAACTGGACCCTTCTGCCTGGTAGCCTTCTCTACTCCATTCCAGGGACAGTGCAGACAGGTCAGGGCTTCTTGGGATTCCCAAGACGTGAAGGGAGAGCCAGTGTGGAGGGTCAGTCCCCTCCCACTTTCTGACTCCAGGCACCAAACAGCCCTGCTTTGACAGGGTTCATCGAGTGTCCCCCAATCACCCCCCGACACACACGCTGCCTGCCACCCCAGGCTGGCTCTTGGCCCTGCAAAGCACAGAGGGGGAAGGGGGCTGTCTGATCTCATTAGGCAGAAGGCCCCTGGAGCGCGGAGTGCTGACGTGGGTCCTGCTGCTGACGCTACTGAGGCAGCCCACGCGCCCCCCACACCTGGCTTGGGGCTCCTCCAGCTCAGGGAAAGTCAGAAGGGGTTTGTGTGCAGTAGCTGCGGGGGCCCTTCCCCAGGGTCTCCTGGGAGCTGCTCAGGAGGGCGAAGCCCATGTGATAGCCTAAGCAGCTCTGCCTCCACTCCTGGCCTGGGTCCCTTCTACTTCCCACTCTCAGCTCTTCACCTTCTTTCTCCCCTCTCCTACCCCCACATCACCTACTGCCCGTGTTTTGTGTTCTTTGTTCTTATTTTACAAAGGGAGCCTAATGGGAACTTTGCCCTTGACAATCATCCCTCAGGAGGCTTTCCCACAGGCGGACCTGAGCTTCAGGGTGGAGGGCACCCTGGGTTGCCTGCAGTGTTTCCTTCCTTCATTGCAGGTGGCCCAGGGTGACCCATTTGCTCAGGCACCTTCCAGGAGTCACCAGGACCCTCTGCTCCACCTATCCCTGGCACCAAAGGTGAGCAGGATGACATTTGGGCTCTTCATTTTTTTGTTGTTTTAAAAAATTCAAAAGCATTCTTCACTGCCTAAGCATAAACTCCTGAATACACTGAGCTTGGGAACAGGACCAGCTTTCTGCCTCGCCTCAGGCCACCTCAGGAGCCTGAGGGTGCCAGGGGAGCCTTCCCACTGACTTTGCCTGCCCAACTAGGAAGTGTCACATGACCTCAGAACCCACCCCTCTCCTGTTTTTAAATAATGAGTTACCATCTATTTATTTATTTATTTATTTTTAGTTATACATGGGCACAATATCTTTTTATTTTGTTTATTTATTCTTATGTGGTTCTGAGGATCAAACCCAGGGTCTCACACTTGCGAGGCCAGCGCTCTACCACTGAGCCACAACCCCAGCTCCCCATTTATTGATATGGCCTATCATGTGTCAAGGGCTTTACAAATGGTCATCCTTTGGGGCTGTAGTTGTAGCTCAATGGTAGGGCATTTATCTAGTATGCCTGAGCTCTGGCACTTGATCCCCAGGACCCCTGAGAGAGAAAAAAGTCACCGTTTGAAACTTGTGCTATTGTTATTTTAGGATGGTGGGACTCTTCTTTTTACAGGGGCAAATAGGCTTAGAGAGGAAGGGAGCCTGCTCAAAGCCACATGATAGTCAGGCTGGAGCACAGGTTCCCTGCTTCTTTCTGTTACATCCTCCATCTCCTAAGTGAGGAAAGGGTAGTAGGCATAGGTGCCAGAGAAAGCTGTGGTTGAGTTGTGGCAGTTCCTGTGGACCCAGGTAATGCCCTGAAGGCCCCCACCTTCCCACATATATCCCCAGATGGCCATCACATCCCCCTCAAAGCCCAGAGCCCAGTCCCTACTTCATCTTGCCCCAGTCTACTGGGTCAGTACAGCCCCCCACTCTCACCCATGGCCCTGGGAGGGTAGAACTAGAACATCTTATAGGGACTGGCAGTGGAGCAGTTCCCTTCCATTCACAAGACCCTTCCACTCCTGGCACTGAGTGTGTCCTCCCCACTGTGCCACTCAGGTAGGCGGTAGAGGATGCCCCTCCAGGGCGGGCTTGGGGCTATGAGCTCCAGGACTCAAGATCAGTAAAAAGTGAAAAGAGAACCATGACATTTGAAATTTTTATTTTTCACTGAGCTAGGAGAGGAGATTCCAGCTATAGAATCCAGACAGAGAGTTCTACAGGAACAGGACAGAAATTGGCTGGGCCCTGGGCCCAGAGAAGGCCTGGAGCTGCTTGGGCTACTGTTTGATGCCAGCTCCATCCTTGGCACTTCGCCCCTTACCCAGCATTGCTCAGCTCCCAGAGCCCACAGTGGCAGCTGCTT